GTAGTAGTAGTAGCAGTAGTAGTAGTAGTAGTTGTTGTTGTTGTTGTAGTAGAAGTAGTAGTAGCAGTAGTAGTAGTAGCAGTAGTAAGTAGTAGTAGTATTAGTAGTAGTAGTAGTAGTAGTAGTGGTAGTAGTAGTAGTAGTAGCAGCAGCAGCAGCAGCAGCAGTAGTAGTAGTAGTAGTAGTAGTAGTAGTAGTAGTAGCAGCAGCAGCAGTAGCTTTAGTAGCAGCAGCAGTAGTAGTGGTAATAGTCGTGGCGGCAGCAGTAGTAGTAGCAGTATTAGCAGTAGTAGCAGTAGCAGCAGCAGCTGGAGCAGTAGTAGTAGTAGTAGCAGTACTAGTAGTTGAAGTAGTAGTAGTAGTAGTAGTAGTAGTAGTAGTAGTAGTAGTAGTAGTAGTAGTAGTAGTAGTAGTAGTAGTAGTAGTAGTGTTGTTGTTGTTGTTGTTGCTGTTGTTGTAGAACTCAACTATCTGATACACTGGCTACACTTTGTATGCAGAAAAAATGTGAAAAACCCAAGTACATGACGTTAATGTGCTCAAAAAGTCATTAAGTTAGTTACTGTTATAGTCCAATGCTGTTTTGTGGAAGCTGGAAAGTACCAATGAAATATTCATCATAACAGGTCATAGAAATGTTCCCCCACGGGCTTTATATTGTCCAATGCTTTCTGTAACGTGTCTGTTGTTATTTCTTGAATGTCAATTCTGACTGCTTCCGTTGATGACACTATTCTGTTTTGACTGCAGAGCTACTTACTTCAGCAGACAACAGTCCTTCACTGCATACTGCTTTGTGATTGACTGGGAAGCTAATTTGTTTATGATGTCACGTACTTCGTTCCCCCCCCCCCCCCCACATTTGTGATTCTTTGTTTCGTGTCATCAATACATGTACGTTTACATTGATTATTATTATTATTATTATCTATTATTATTATTTTCATTCTCCCGCTTCTTCTTCCTTCTCTTCTTCTTCTTCTCCACATCCGCATCTACCCCTCCGTCAATGTCTTCTTTTCCTTCTCCTCTTCTCCCTACCTTCTTCTTCTTCAGCTGCTGTTGATGCTATTAGAAAGTAACAGACACAACTTCGTATCGCCCACAAGTGATAAATGGATTACCCTGTATCTTCCATTTCAAATCATCTAGATGTAACACAATTTCTTTATAATAAGTTTTTTTTAAACGCCTGTTTTCCAGTTATTTAATTTTTTTCTTTATTAAAAACTCAAAAACATAATTGTTTTTCATATCAAATTACTTAAGTGTAACACTATTTTGTATACTGAAATGATCAAAATTATCACCATTTGAAAGTGATGTTATCTTGTGTGTGTCTTCTATGTATACAATAGAAGCCTGTATGGCCGCGATGGCTCCAACCTGCAAGGGTCTACCGAACGGATCCTACCCAGCGTGTCCTCCAGATTGTAGAAATGGTCTTTATTTTCTCTGCGAAAATGAACTCCATAAACAAAAGTAGGTTTTTATGTCTCTTGATATTTTAAGCTTAGCTGATATAGCTCTCTCTCTCTCTCTCTCTCTCTCTCTCTCTCTCTCTTCCTCTCTCTCTCTCTCTCGCTCTCAGTGTGTGTGTGTGTGTGTGTGTGTGTGTGTGTGCTGTGTGTGTGTCTGTGTGTGTGTCTGTCCGACCATTGCACCATGTTTGATTGGATCTTGTCCGTATATAATTAGCAACTCAATTTAACTTGATTTTCTTGATGCTTGTTCGGTGTCTAGGTCTCTAAACAGTAAAACTGGGTATACAGATAATGTTGCTATTTTCACATCTGAGGGGCATTAGACACATTATTGAACTCACATATTTTAATAGCTTGATAGGCACTCTGAATATCAACGCCTAATAGAGAACAACAATGGCGACATCACAACAAAATTCAGAAGAAAAAAACGCTTTAGCAATGCGAGACTAAACAGCCTGAAGAAACTGTGGCACCGCACCTGTAAACGAGTAACCGTAGAAAATTGTGAGATTATGCATCTATCGTGTGGCAGCTTAGGGATGTAAGTATAATTGCCAAGGTCATTTTTGAAGGGGAAAAATTTTATTCTGGGGTCACCAGCAGAAAAATTGGCCTGTTCACGTTTTTCGGCCCATCTACACACTTTCTCAGTCTGATCTAGGTCAGAGGGGTGTCATGTTGTACTGCTTTCTTCTAAAAAGAGTCTCTCGTGTGGCCTATGCTCAGGCTTTGGGTAAAAAAAGGGGGGGGGGGTTGGCTTACGACCAGTTCTAGATGTTTTGGGGTCGTTGAAAGCTGTGTCGTCGTGTAGTATAGAAAACGCGACATTGGTTCTGATGTAATTGGGGTTCTTAATATGTTAGTCTCCCCACCGAACGTAGGTCATTGATAAGTTTTTTGGACTAGTCTACCGTGGTCGAGGGTATGGGTGTCGCGGTCTCTTGATGTCTTGCATTTACGTTTTTATTTCAAGAAAGAGACGGCCTGTGACATAGGTTTCGTCACTCTCTAGGGGTATTGTGTAAATATCTAAATGTTTGTGCAGTGTTAAAAGCTCTGGCATGGTGTAATATACAACACGCAATATCAGCGCCAATGCGGAATAGCCCCGTGACCTTGTGTGAAAGGTAGGCTGGAGGTCGACCAATCAGAAGCGAGCTAGTGTATAGCGGTGTGTAAATGGGGAGACCAACGTATTAATTACCGTAATTGGAAGCAAGACAGTGTGACACCCCTCCGACGTAGAAAGGTTTGAGAAAGTATGAATGAAAGTTCAGCCAGTGTGAATTAGGCCAGGAAACGTGAAGTGGACAAGATAAATGTGTTGCTAGGGAAGTGTTCGGCAATACGTTTATATCGCGTGTTTTATATTTAACCACGCCACCGCTTTTAACACTACAAAGATATTTACAAACTGGGTCTAACCCACAACCCCCCTCCCCTTCCCCCTCCCTCTCCCCCCTTTCCCCCCACCCCATGCTAAGCGTAAAGGACCTTACTTCACTTGTGAGGCCTCTTTTTTACCTGGCTAACGATGAGTGACGTGGTCAGTTTCAGATTAGCTGCTGCACGACATTTATTTGATCCATTTTAGGCGGCAGCCGAAGTCAATTAGCAAGAAGAAACAAAAATATCTAGCTTCCAGTGGTTCAAAAGTCTCTTTTCGAAAATCTCTGTTTACGTTTTTTTTGCTGACTGCTGTTGAATTTATTGTAGTAATTTTCAGGTGGCTGTTGTATTTGTTTTCGTTTTTTTTTTTTTTGACAGCTGTTGAATTTATTTTGGTTTCTTTGCAGGTGGCTGTTGTATTGTTTTCGTTATATTGCATGTAACTGTTCCATTTGTTTTCGTGAATTTATTTGTGTTATTTTGCAAGTGGCTGTTGTATTCGTTTCGGTTATTTCACAGGCAGCTGTTAAATTTATTTTGGTTACTTTGCAGGTGGCTATACTTGTTTTCGTTATATTGCATGTAGCTGTTCAATTGCTTTCGTTATTTTACGTGTAGCGGTTGCATTTATTTTCGTTATTTTGCAGATGGCTGTTGTGTTTATTTTCGTTATTGTGCAAGTGGATGTTGTATTTGTTTTATGTTATTTATTTTCTCCTGTTTTTAATTTCCATGTAAAATCACTGCTACCGTATGGAGCGGAAACATTGAGAACAGTTCAAATTTCAAATTCTCTTTCGTTGACCACTTTCAGCTAGGTCAGATCACATTTCTGCTCACTTTCCTTTCAGCTATATTTGTGGTGACGTATCTGGTCTCGATCTCATTTGGTTTTGGATTGTGTTCATTGAGAACAGTTCAAAGCAGTTACTTATAAACTGAAAACTGGTGCCTGCACAGGACAGAGGCAATTAAATTGTGTGATAGAATCATTCATGTTGGACTTTGGAAGAGAACAAAACAAATTCTGATGAATCAATCAATTAGGAAAGGACGCTGTTGTTGAATAGGTAGTGTTAGTTGCGTGATCTTTTACAGGAAGTTTCAGAACAAGTCAAAGCATTGTTTGGCTGCTGTTGTTTTCTTTTCTAGACAAATTTACGATCACTAGTTTGCCATTGCCCTGAACAGTCGACGCTCGGTACTACTGTAGGAACCAAGACAAGCTACCAAGTCTGCTACTAAATCGCCTGCATCCGGGATAGAATCTGGCACCACGGCATTACGAATCGCGTTTGCAACCCCTAAGCCACAGACGTCTTACAGTACACACTTTAAAAAAAAGAATTATAGAACCAGAAGGTCTTTGCACTAGAAACGACAAGGACATATAAATAATACAGGAACCCCTCCCCCCCCCCCCCCCACCCTCCCCAACAACCCCAAAAAAAAGAGACACGGAAAAGAGAGCTAACGAGTGAAGTAAAAAAGACAGGGAAAACATGCAGTAAACCACATAAAGTAGTAAGGGACAGGACAATTTGGCATGTGTTGGTTGAGGGCCTACAGTGCATTTCCTAGTATCCATTTTGGTGGCAGCCAAGATCAATTATCATCATAATTTTAAACACCCCTTGATGCAGATCGACGGTTTTTTTTTTTTTTTTTTTCAGGCGGCTGTTGTTTCGTTCCTTTGTTATTTACTTCTTCCGTTTTTTCTCTCATTTCTCCAGGACCTGTGAGAGACTGTTTCACCCAATCTTTGGCTATGTCCAGGGAGTGTTCGATCCGCCAGTCGGAAGATGCCGGTTCTATTCCGGTTCATGCCCAACACCATAACCTTTGCTGACATCGTGAACCATTCAAATGGTAGTTAGTGCTTGGTGACTGCATGTGGCAAATGTGAAAAGGTTGTATGCTTGTTTCATAGAATGAGGTGTCCGATTCTAATCATAGTTAAAGTTTCCACTGCAGTATAGTTTTTAAAGTAAAGTAAAATTCAATGTAAAAAAAATAATCAGTGGCAAGTAAATAATATTCAGAACTTGTTGTTAGTACTATGTAAATGAATAACCATGCTGAAGTTTAGTTCAGTTTACGTCATTTTAACTTAGTTTAGTTCAGTTAGTTCAGACTATGTAAACAGACTGGAATATCTTCAAACTGTGAATCTGCAACCAGACTAGACAGCAACCATGACCGGACAGAGAGAACAACATGGTAAAAGAGGTGTGGCCAGACAAGAGCACCATGCAGGAAGCCAGAGAAGAATAAGAAACAAACACAGGACTGGTGACGTCAGCCGATCCACGCTGCCAGATTTACCAAGGAAGGGGTTTGCGCACTTAAGCACTGAATGGTCCGATGCGCATTGAGAATAGTCTGTCCACTAACTAATTAATTGGCTGGAAGATCGGCAAGTGTTGTCGCATGGTAAAAGAAAGATGGGGAGTGTGCTAAGGGAAGGCAGCGGTTATGTGCGTGTGTGATGTGTGTGTGTGTGCGTGATAAATATGGGTGTATAAAAAGTTAGCTGCGTATCCTTTACCGGATGTTGCAGAACCAACCCTATCATTTTTTTTTTTTTTGGCTGCTGTGGGTTTTCAAGGCAAATTTTACGCTCAGTAGTTTGTCATTGCTTTCTAAACGGAAAACTCTCGATACCACCGTGAAAACCAACGCAAGACAAAACGTCCGCAGCTGGGATCGAACCTGGCACCACAGCATTATGAAGCACCTTCACAACGCCTAAGCCACAGACGACGACATTGGGGTAAAGATTGGGATAAATGGTGTGTATGCACTCGAAGATTCAGGAGTAGACGACCTTCAATGAGCTGGCACATGATGGTGATGTGTAAATATAAGGATACAGCAGAGGCTAAGGAAAGGGAAGGAGAGGAGATAGAGAAAGGCTAAAACATAGAAATAGGCAGAGAGATACAGACACAGAGAGACAAATTAAGGTATTTACGAGAGATGCAGAGACACAGACAAAGAGATGAGACAGTATAAGAGACAGACAGAGAAGAACAGAAAAAAAAGAGAGGAAGAGAGGGGGACAGAGTGAGAGAGAGAGAGAGAGAGAGTGTGTGTGTGTGTTTAAATGTAACCGCACCTTTGAGATTTTTTTTTAAATAACAACGTTAAGGGAGATATAAACAGAAGAGAGTAGAATAGCAGAACTAGCTTCATTTTGAACAAATACTGGATAAGGGAGGCAGTGGTCGACAAACAAACCTGCATCTCGAAGGTTGAAACATCTAGGCAGCAAGAAAAAATTTAAGCAACAACTTCTTTCCAAGAATACGGAATGGTTGAGGGATATCGCAGAATTATGACTACCGTTGTCTGTTTCAGAACAGGGGTTCTAAAAATGGCGGTTAGGGGAAAGGGGAAAAAGGTTATGTCAAAACAATTCTTGAAAGAATAATTAAAACTAAAAGTGCAGATCTGTTGGAGTTATAAATAAGTAGAAAGAAACACTTGTAACATAAGCGTAAATAATGTAATATGGAAAATAAACTGCACTGCTCTCACATGCGTGAATGTGAGATTCACATATCACAGAGTCCATTGTTAGACGGTACGTTTTACAACAACAGCCTCTTATTAACCACGTGATTCTTTCGCTTGTACACATTTGTAAAATACAGTAATACCATCTACTTACGAATTGAATGTGTTCCTGACAGTGGTTTGTATCTCGAAAAGTTCGCATCTCGAAAAGTTCCTGTCTCCAAAAGTTCCTATTTCCAAAAATTCCTAACTCGAAAAATTCCTATCTCCAAAGGTTCCTAATTCCAAACTTAATTTCCTATTACATGTCACGAAAAATCAATTAATCCGTTGTCAGATTTAAAATTTAAAAAACAAATCTAAAAATATATTTTTTTAAAGAACTACTCTCACCTAAATTGAGAAAATATAAAGAGAAAAAAAATCAAGAGTGAGAAGAACATTTTGAGGCAAGAGATATGTCTCTTCTATCCCATGCACAGTTTTCTTAAACAAGTCTGGGGTTTTAGATGATACACATGAATGTAGTGTAAAACTTCCACTCCCTCCCCAACAACTACAGAATGTGTAGTAAATATACTAAGCTATTTTCCGCCAACATTTTTTGCACACAAACACACACAACCTCACACACACACACGCACACACAATCACACATACACACATTGGAACTCTCCTCTTAAATGTTGTTATATATGTCATAAATGCCAACATTATGATTTTGTTTATGTGCCATTCAGCTTTAATATAGTAATTTTTTTATTTTTTTTTTTCATTTTAAATGTTGATTGCATATGCTTTACATGGTGCTACAAAAAACGCGTCAGAATATTTTGGGCTGTTTGTGATTTTACAAGGCAATATTATGTTCAGTAGTTTGCCACTGATTGCTCAACGGTAAAAGCTCGAAACCAGTGTCGAAATAAACACAAGGCGGTCTGCTGCCAAACTGTCCGATTCAGAAATTGAACCCAGTTGACAACCTCGGAATTACGAAATACATTTGCAACGCCTAAACCACAGATCTATTATTTATTATTTACAATCAAGCACTTTAACCAGGATTATACCTTTTGACCCCCTTCTCTCCCCCCCCCCCTCTCTTTTTTCCCCCCAAATTGCACCCTTATTTCTTTCCCCAAAATGATCTAGGAGTAGGCACTTGGTTTTCATGGGACCGAGATAAATGTTGACGATAAAAAAAAAGATTTGCGATCGGGCAAATCATAAACAAGAGAATCACACTGTTAACCTAAGACTAGTTTGGCGGGATATACAGTATCGCAGTCTACATACTGGCTGGGGCCACACACACAAGTACACTAACAATAGATGCAGCTACCTGAATGCCGATCAGACAATAAATTACCATTTTACTATGGCTACGGTCTTCCTGTTTTTATAAGTGTTGGTGTTGTCTTGCGTATGTTAGACCAAAAACTGTGCGCCCCGGCGCCCCGGGGAACCACGACCTCCTAACGGGGGCACCGCTAAATTTTGAAATAACCAATTACCAATTTAACTGAGACACGAATAGTCATAGTTTTACTTAGGTTAGGGCACCGTGAAATAATTTTGATTGGAAAAAGGCGCCGCGACCAAGACAAGTTTAGGAAACACTGTGTTAGACACATTGTCTCTGGCGCAGATCGGTTGTCTATGTCACCTGGTTTTTTACAAAATCCAGGCTCTCATAATAGGAGGTTTCAAAGGTCTTGGTGCCCAGATATTCATCTCTGGTATCGTTGAATATCTTCTCCTCCAGACAACCGATAACGATTCTGTCTTCCTGCAGGAAGAATTTGTTAGCGAACATTTCCTTGGCTTTAAACAACAGGTGCAGGTCACCTGGGTGGAGACAAAAAGAACATGTTCAGTAAAATCGTAGTCGACTATGCTACTCGTCTCTTCTTTTTGTTCTTCGTCTTCTTCTTCTTCGTCTTCTTCTTCTTCTTCTTCATCTTCTTCTTCTTCATCTTCTTCTTCTTCTTCTTCATCTTCTTCTTCTCCTCCATCTTCTTCTTCTTCTTCTTCATTTTCTTCTCCTCCTTCTTCTTCATCTTCTTCTTCTTCTCCCCCTCAGCTTATTTCTATCCAGCTACGTCTTCTTTTCCTCCTCCTCTTCTTCTTACTTTCTTCTTCTTTTTCCTCTTCTTCTTCTTCTGTTACGTCTTCTTCTTTCCCTCATCCTCTTCGTCCTTCTCTCATCCTCTGGTGACCGCATCAAAGTGTTGGAGCCAGATATAAGAATCTTCTGCGTGCTGTTTCTAATATTTTGTATAAGCTGACCTTTATTTCTTATTAGAGGCTAGACTTGATGCTGTCGTTCTATTTTGTCGTGGTCTTTCCCTCGCTCTGTGTTCATTATATCTCTAGTGACTTTCTATGGCAGCTAGTTGCCTGGCATTCTCATCAGATAGGCAAACCGTTTCATCCGTTGCTCTTTAATTAATTGTGTGACGGCTACAGTAATAGCTTCATCCAGATTTCTTTTGTTTTTATTGTGTATCTTTGTTTTATTACTGCTGTCCTTCTATGACACCTTTTTCTGTTACTATGATGTTTTTGTAATTAATTAAAGTAAAGCTCCAAGTTTTACAATGGTCAAACAGAGTTGATTAATTTATGCTTTGAATTAGAGCTACCGTGAGAAAACTCCCTAATATTTTTAATGTACATTACACCCACTGGGGCCTAGGAGATGTGGCTCTACCGATGAAAGTTCCTCGGACAATTAACATGAGTATAACGGATTTTGAAAAAGAATTCTATACATCGATAACTTATCACTAACATCAGGAAGAATCACTTATCATTGGTGGCCGTATCATATGAAGAGGGAATCTAGAACAAGCTATGAGAAATTCTAGAGAGGCCAATAGAGAATTATAACTAGAAAACAAAATGGTGTCCCTTTTGTCATGATGTCGAAATGTGTCATCATCATCATCACACTTTAGAGGAGTATGATCTTCAGGTCATAAAAGTCATATATTTATATTTCTAGTATCGATTACCTTATCAAAGGCGCACCTACGTCAAAATTAACACCTGCAAGATGAGAAGACAAGAAAAACCGCAAAATTTAAACACCGGAATCCAAGAAAGAAATCATACTATAGAATGAAAAAATGCTGCCATGAGACATCTTGCAGGAACAACACCTTTTAAAAAATTAATTGATAAGCAGCAGATTAAATGATCATCTTCTTAAAATACATCCACAACAACCAACAGAAAAGTGTCTATGCGTCAAGACGTTAACACGATTGCGTGCACTCGGAGTGAAGCCTCTTGAGGCCCGCCGATGCCGTCTTCGAGGTCAAGGTAGGAGATTTTTAATCAACTTCTCACGGAACAGTCAGTAGAGGTACCCTGGGGTGGCTGCTGCATAGGAGGTCTGAGCACACATGGGAACTGTCTAAGCACACATGGGAATAGTCTGAGCATGCATGGGAACTGTCTAAGCACACATGGGAATAGTCTGAGCACACATGGGAATAGTCTGAGCACACATGGGAACAGTCAGTAGAGGTACCCTGGCGTGGCTGCTGCATCGGAGGTCTGAGCACACATGAGAATAGTCTGGGCACACATGGGAACTGTCTAAGCACACATGGGAATAGTCTGAGCATGCATGGGAATAGTCTGAGCACGCATGGGAATAGTCTGAGCACGCAAGGGAATAGTCTGAGCACGCATGGGAATAGTCTGAGCACGCATGGGAATAGTCTGAGCACACATGGGAATAGTCTGAGCACGCATGGGAATAGTCTGAGCACGCATGGGAATAGTCTGAGCACGCATGGGAATAGTCTGAGCACACATGGGAACAGTCAGTGGAGGTACCCTGGCGTGGCTGCTGCGTCTGAGGTCTAAGCACACATGGGAATATACAAAATGTGCAGTGATATTAGATGTAATAACATAACATTTGTCAACCTCTGATTTGTGAACATCTTTCTTCTTCTTTCTTTGTTCGCTGGCAGTTAAGCTTCAGCGGAAAGCCCTGGTTGTTCGTCCATTTAGCTTTGTGTCAGGACCTGAGTTTCGCGTGTGCATCCTTTTTACTTGTTTAATTGTGTACACCTGGTTGCTCCTTGCCGCTTTTGCAGATGTACTCTGACTTCGAAAGAACTCCAATTTAGTCGACTCCTACGACATTCTTGTTGGGAAGGCAATGGGACTATTCTTGTTTCCTCGTCAATGGGAACTCGGAACCCACCCTGGGATTTCGAATATCCAAAAAGCATACAGACGACATTAGACATCCCTACAAAATGACAACGGCCCCTGCCATCCATTTACTCACTCACAGCGTTTAATGCGAAATTAATACAAGTTCAACGACGACGACGATGAGGATGATGATGATGACTATGATGATAATGATGGTGATGATGCCGATGATTACCTGTGGTCAGAATGCAGATATCTCGAACGAATCTCCCAGCACAAGGCAATGAGCCCCAGTTCTTGTAACGAGATAGGAACGGGTTTCTGATGCTGAGTTCTGGGTTGCCTGGGTCAAAAAACAGGCTACTGAATACAGCTAGACACACTGACTGACAGACAAAAGACAGACAGACATGCAGACAAGAAAGTAGATAGACAGACAGATAAACAGACATATCACATATGCAAACATAAAATAGAAACTATAACTTGCTATGGCTCAACAGCTGCAAAAAAAAAAGAGAATAGCTGAGGTAGCGTTATTAAAATTTAAAAAATTAAACAATAAAATTGTAAAAGCATTTTTTAAGCTCTCTCCGTTAACAGTTTCTGTCATCATCCCCCCCCCCCCCACACACACACACACACACACACACACACACACACACATCATCATCATCATCATCAGTTCTCGTTATGCCTAGTAGCACATGAGGCTTCAGAGAGGACTTTCCATGCTTTTCTGTCCTGTGCAATCTTCAGTGCAGTTTTCCATGTCAAAGATGCCGCACTCAGGTCACTTTCCATCGTTCGTCTCCATGTTGGTTTTGGGCGCCCTTGTTTTCTCTTTCCCTCTGGTGTCCATGTGAGAGCTGTTTTGGCGGGTATATCAGGATTCATTCTCATAACGTGGCCAAGTCATTTCCTTCTTCTCTTGGTTATGATACTGTCTAAAGTTACTTGGTTTGTTACTTGAAGTAGTTTAGTGTTTGAGATTGTACCTGGCCAGAAAATTTTGATAATTCTGCTTAGACAGGTGTAGTGGAAGGTGGACAGCTTGTGTGCATCCTTTTTGGTCATTCTCCAGCATTCCGCTCCATAAAGAAGAACTGGCAAAATGGTGCCCTTGTAGAGTCGGAGTTTCGTAATTGTAGGATTTCCAGTATTTGCCTCATCCTTCCAAAAGCAGCTTTAGCTTTGTTCAGACGTGACTGTATGTCCTCTTAGGTCCCTCCCGGCAGGGACACCACACTACCAAGATATGTGAAATGTTCTACATTTTCAAGAGTTTGGTTATTTATGGTCACTGGTTGTTGATTTGGACTGTTTGTCATGATCTTAGTTTTCTTCGTATTTATTCTCAGTCCCACCTTTTCTGCTGTGCTGTGTAGTCTGTTACTTTTTTCTTCCATATGGTCATGTTTGTGTGATAGGAGTGCTATATCATCTGCAAAATCAAGGTCCTCAAGCATGGTGAATGGAGTCCATCGTATGCCACACACACACACACAATCCCCCACCCCAGTCCACTGACTACTTCTTTTTTTTTTTTCTCTCCGAAGAATATTTTTGATCTTAGTCTGATAGTTTCTGTAATCCTGAAGAAAACGAATTTACAGCAATTGAGACACCTGCAGATGGTTGGAAATCAGTTCACATGTGCAGCAATGTGTGGTAATTATTTTGATAGCCTTTTCCCCACTCAATGACAAATCCGCAGCTCATGTGAGACTCCCAAATACGAGATCGGAAATAAAACCCGCGGTTTACAGAGCGGAGACAAGAGGCTTTGGGACGTAACATTTAAAAAGCTTTTTACCCGGCTCTCTAGCGTAGTTGGCTAAACCGGAGTGACGAACTCCTTGTGGTCCGGGTTCAATCCCGGGGATAGGCAGGAAAGCCACATTTTCTCCCAGATTTATCGTATTTACAATGGAATCAAAGCCGAAAGGTTATGATATCCTAATACCGAGCCTAAGGGTTAACAACTCATGGCTTCTGGATACTAAACCAAACAAATAGGTTTTTCTTTTGCAAGCTTTGGCTCACCTTTGTATGTGCCTCGGATGCCAAGCTGGGGGTTGGCGCCCAGAACAGCGAAGAAGGCTTCATCGGGGATTTCCGTCTGTCTGGTCCATTCTAGGATTTCCTTGGCCGTGCCATTGTGGAGGATGTAGTCTACAAAGTCTCTGGAAAGGAAGTTGATGACGAAAACGGAGGAATTTAAAAAGGTGGAAGGGATAAAAGACAATAAGGAGGATTATCATCATCATCAACGCATAACACACGGTGGCGGTGGGTAACCAGCTGCTGTTGACTGTTTGATCAGCTGCCTCCACCTTTGACAGGCAGACGCCATAGATTTCTAATTACATGCATAAGGCTTGCCGGTCGGTTAGGCTCTGTATCCAGTCTTTCTTGGTCTGCCTCTTTTCTTTCCCTCTACCGACCCCTATCGTACTGTTTTTAGAGGCCGTTAGATCTTATTTTATGTCCGTACCATACGTTTTTCAGCCTTTCCTATGAGTTAAAAAAGGATCATTGTTGCCACTGAACTGGGTAATTTTATGGCAAACCTGGTCACTTATAAAATAATCTCCTGATATGCGAAGAATTTTCTGAAAGATCGCATTGCCAATGCTTGTAAGTAGTAGGAGAGGCGCAAATTAGGCATATTGCTGCTAGCACCCTAGCCAAACACACTGCTGTCCTTGCCTTTTGTCCTGCTGCCCTAGCCTGTAGCCTGCTGCCTTAGCCTGCTGCCCTGCTGCCCTAACCTGCTGCCCTTACTGGAACCTGTTGCCTGCCTGCAAAGCTTATTGCCTGCAATGGCTATATTTTTAAAATAAGGGGGAAAATTTGGACATATGATTTTAACGTGTTTTTTGTTATTTAAAAAAAAATTTAAAATAGCATAGGTCATATTTATATAGTTCACAATAGCAACACTGATTCTAATAGTTACAATAAAGTAGTATATACACTAATTTAGACGATAAGGTGCGATGTAGAAACAGTATTATCGTGGACTTCTTTTCATGTATAAATATTGTAAAGATTAAATGTGTTGTTTGTTGGTTTAAATTAATGAGTCATGTAATTTAAACCCTACATTTGTCCCTTCCTGTTCCCACTGTGTATCCAGTATTTTTCAAAGTATGTCTTTATCTAAAGCGTTGCGGTTTTTGGAAAGTCCTTTGATGTTCGTCTTTGGGTATTCACCGAAACGATGACAAGTTTTGTGACACCATCCATTTTCCCTCGTATTCCAATTCAAAAAGTTCTGGTGTTCTTTTCTCCCACAGTTTATTAGCTCTTCAGGTTGACGGTCTAATTCAGTGTTACCCTCAACGGAAAAAAATAGAGACTTTTGATCGGAACAGACTTCAGAGAGAAACCACTGGTCGTAGATCAGGGCTATTCAACTGGCGGTCCGCGGGCCAAATCTGGCCCGCCAAGGCCTAGCAAGTGGCCCGCGGATCACTGCTAGTCGTATTGCATTTATGGTCTTTCTATGCTGGGGCTGGTTCTTCTGGCCCGTGACGATATCCATTTTTGAACATTTTGACCCATGAGTCACCTTAGTTGAAAAGCCCTGTAATAGATACTATAGAACTCAGGACTGAGGTGGGGCCTGACAACGTCGGAAAGGTCGTCGCTGCTGAGAGCTAAAAAGAGAGAGTCTGTATCCATCTTATTAAGTTGAAAGTCGGCCCTATCTACAAATTTATCTAAAAAGTCGTAACGAAACTGTAACATGTTTAATTTGGCGTCCTGATATCCAAAGAACCCTTTCTGCACCGGGAGATCCCAAACTGGCTTCTTCTTCAGCAGTTCTACTTCATAAAGGACGTCGCTCAGGTTGGATATTTTTAGAAAAAGGGGATTATTGACTTTTGTCGAGGTACTAGACCCAAGACAGTAGGAAATGTCGCTATGTTTTGACTTGTTGGTTCAAGTTTTACCATTCTCGGCGTTCCCCAAAAATGTCGGCCTCCCTGGTGAGCGCCTTGGACGGGTCACTATCTCCTTCGCGTCAGGACTTTGGGACTGTATTCCCAAATGTCTCGAAGCACTTCACTAGGTGGTGCTCAATTATTTGGTAAATTTTGGTTACCACTAACCCATTTCGTTGATACCAATTTAACAACGGGTCATTAACAAAAACTTCACCCCTTTGTAATTTTATATCAATGTTCTACGCGCCCACGTATTTAATTTGTTTTCAACTGTGTACGCCTTCATATCGTTTCTAGTTAGCTTTAATTTTTTTTAGCGTCGTTTCGGAAAACTTGGCATCTAAGTGTTTGAGGACCTCAATGTTACAACTGACGAAACCAAAGACATCTCTTCACGGACGTTTTCTATAAATTATTTATCTATGGGACACGCATCCCAGTCAGGTCTAACGCAGGAGAACCTACCCTCCAGAAAAGTTTGGATGGGATCAGTCTTTCGAACTTTTTTGCCAGTCGCACTCTCACATTTCTACACCTGGAACACCCGCCTCATTTACAAAGTAATCTTGGATCTCTCAGGTCTTTTCAAATAAATCAACGTGAGATGTTTTCCATTCACAGGGTTAACAGTTTTACTTGGTTAAGGGGCAGCCTGTGTGGCCATAAAACGTACAGCCGTGGAACTGGTAGGCGGTGCTAGTGGCTTGATCCCACCCGTCCACCCTGATGTTCCACGGTGTCGACAGAAAAGCCACCCAGCAGCACGTAATGAGGTTTGTCACAAACGCCAAACACGGATGCCGATACTCTGTCTGTCATTGGGACGGTACCTGACAATGGAACCATGACATCCCCGACTGGTCTCGAGGCCACGAGGTCACAGCAGACGTACAAATTATCTATGTCTACTTCGTACTGCTCGCCGAGTGCTGGGTTGGCGCCTGTTCCAAACACTGCATGAAGTGCTAAAATAGATTTCAAGAGAGCGCCGACTCTCGCTTTAGCACCTAGCAGGTAAAGTATGAAGACGGCATGATTCGTAAACTAGTTTAAGAATATTTTCATTAGCGACTTGTGGCCTCCGTGTTCTATACTCAGCGCGTCCAGCTTGTCTACAAAAACTCTTGGTGATTTTCAAACGCCGCGTGGCAATGTAGTTTAACAGTGTGGTTGTCATTGACTGGGGTGTACTATCTAGACTTCGCCTTCTAGAATTTTAAAATAACTGTTTAGAAATTGAATTTCTGCGAGACTGACTTCGTACAGTAAGCTCAGCTCTATAGTCTAAGGTATTCTGACGAAAACGTGCCCCACACCCTGACCCCATCCTCCCCCCCCCTCCCCTTTTTTTTAAAGGAGTGTAGGAGGAAGAGGAGGACAATAAGATTGAGGGAATGGAACTGAAGAGTTAAAAAAAAAAAGACTATAAGGATGATTATGATGATGATAAAGATGATGACATCAGCTACAACAATCAAAACGACAATACCGATGATGACCACACACAAGGTAACAATAACAGTGATGAAAGAGCCTGCTGGACAAAATCGCCTATCCCTGTGTGTTCATATTGACCGACTGACCTGTTGACTGTAATATGTACCGAGCCTTTCACTGGGACGATTCCGAGTGGGGGTACAGTGTTCTTCCACCGCGACTTCGTGGCGCTGTAGAGAGCAAATTTGTGTCTTTTCTGGATTTGAACCTCTCTCTCTTCTTTTCGTCTGTTTTTATGCCCCTCTCATATTTACCGCCTTCTTCTTTCTCTATTACCCCTCCCTCTTTCTTTCTCTCTCTCTCTCTCTCTCTCTCTCTCTCTCTCTCTCTCTCTCTCTCTCTCTCTCTAATCTATCTAATCTGTCTGTCTGTCTGTCTGTCTGTCTGTCTGTCTGTCTGTCTGTCTGTCTGTCTGTCTGTCTGTCTGTCTGTCTGTCTGTCTGTCTGTCTCCTTCTTAATGACGGCGATAACGTGTCTCATTAAGCAACAACAACAAGCACAAACAATAAATAAAACAAGAACTCAGAACAAAGATAGAAACATCACTAAAGTGACTGCTCTGAGATACGTGAAATAAAACTAAGTAAGCCGATCAAGAGGCGAGGGGAGTTAACACTGACGCTGACAGGACACACAGAGAAAACCATATAAAATATAACTTGAATGTTCATGCACTGGATCCCACAGAGTCAAAGACCACAAGGGGGGGGGGGGGACAAGAACACAATAATAGAATAAGTTTTAAAAAACTTAGGAGGAAAATGAGTGAACTGGCTGCGATGCAGAGGATAGGACGACTTGGCGTGGGATGCTTGATGACTTACCATGTAATTGGGGGAGGGGGGGGGTGGGTATAGGTCAGAGAAAGAAAAGGCGGCAGAATAAGAGGAAACTGTGTCTTTTATTCATGGGCCCTGTTATAGGAAAAACAAGAACAGACCTGCTGCCTACCCAAAAGCATGTCGTAACAGTCGACTAATGAGGTGATTCCTTCAAAGTTGGAGTTCATCTGCCTGAGGGGCAAAGAACCAACAGTCTGCATACAAATTAGTCAAATATGTCAAACGGATGCAAACGCAACACCCAAGTTCTGGAACAGGACTGCAGTCCAGAAGTAGACGAACAACCAGAACTTCCCGTCAGAGTTTACAGCTGGTGAACGCGAAGAAGAAGAAGAAGTGTCTTTCAACCTGAGCAAAGAAGACACAAAACAAAAGTGTGCACAATTTAATGCCTCTCATACTACGATGTATCTCATAAGGTGTATATTACAGTGAAAATTAACTAAAATGAAGCAAATAAATGAATCCCTCTAACTTAAAAATAAAATCGATTACATTTGAAAATGAAAGTGACTGTTTCACCAGGGCAAGCGCAAGTTCACGACCATTTCCTTTTGTCTGAAAGAAAATAATTATGGATTGAACCGCCGGTTTAATATTGGAGCTGCGATATTTCGTAGCATTTTGCGGTTAGCGGAGTTATTAAACTTGTCCACTAGGAATCTAGACAGAAAAAGGATTCGCTTATCAATCAACTGAAAAGCAGCTGCTGTGAAGAACACTGGTTTTAATTTTTTTGGCCCCAAAAAAGTGTAAATTATAGGTAGACATAAAAGCTGGTTCTGCACTACTTAGTAGTAAATGTATACATGAAAATAACACGCGAGATGTTGTCAAAGCCCTTTAGCAACGAGTTAACACTGCAAGGGAACCTCAATCATCACGGTCTGAAGAGAATGTGCAGAGGAAATTAACCAGGGGGCCTGAAACACTCAACACTTATGGTAAATGCAAGAGGGACATACATTCAGTCTGTTGTTGCTACCATCGGATGCTGGATGCAACTTATGGGGACATAGTGCTATGATGTCGGTTCCTGATTATACTCCCAGTCGAGTATAACAAGAGAACGCATTAACGAAAGAATATATCAACACGAAGAGTGACATTTGGTCAGTGAACTTACGTACTATGTGACTGTTGTCAGAATATCATTAGCTCCCTTAAAGGCCTTGAGGATCTTCACAAGTTCATAGTTCGTCTTCAGCGGAAACTCCTGTCCCGTCAAGGTCAGGAAGTACCTCCAGCGAGGGAACCTCCAGAGTTCCTCCATGCAGAGAAGTTCCGGCTCCAGCACTGAGAAAGTTCCCCATGTGACCTCAATTCTTCTGCTGGTCAACATCACATTTGTGAAACAGTTGGCAATGTCGGCAATTGCTCTGTAAAATGCGACGCTTGACTTGCCGTCAACATGAATACAGTAGTAGTTCTGGGGTCGGTAAATTGCTCGAAGCAACCTTTCCACCATTTCGGCGTCTTTGTAGACAATCATGGAGTACGCCAATGGAAAGCTTTCTTCCTCTTCCGTCAATGATGTCGTAATATATCCCCGGTATTTTTTAAACAACGAACAGTCAGCAGTTAGCGATGGGTACAGTGAGTCGCAAATTGGGACCTCTGTATGCGTTCTATTCTGAACCTCCCGGAGATTGTCGTGAGAACTGGTGATGACCTCCATACAGTTAATGTTTTTCGTTTTCATAACTGACGATGAAATTGCCAAACGTTCGGCGGTTTTCATTTTTGGCTTAGACGACGTTTGATTAGAAAACATATACATACTAGGAGACAATGTTTTGACCGCTTTTCGATATTTACGAACGACACGTTTGTATACTGTCGTGAGGTTGAGACAAGGAATCAAAGAAGAGGCCTCGTCGTCCGTGTCATAATTGGCATTAGATGAAACTAGTAGTTGCATTCGGATTATTACCACGATGCTGGCGGAGGCGATCACGACGCAAAATGCCACGAAGCTAACATGTATTTTTCGAGGTGGTGTCCACGCGGGGATTCTTGACAGCCAACTGGGGATGAAAATGAAATACATGGCAATGGTGAACAATGAATGAAATATTACAGACTGGTAGGCCGGTAGCCTTTATGAAAGCTACCGCGCAGTTCACATCCCCTCGTGTACCATACAGTTTGGTCTTTACTGTGGCTGGAACCTGCCAGATTGCACCAATGCTGGCAGTAAAGAGTTCGCAGTGTTGGAGAACATGCTCAGCATTTTCTGGTGCCACGCTACAGGGACACGCCTCCGTGTTACTACAACGAAAATTGTAAACAGACGAAGTTTGTTGGGCCCTGACCTTAATTGGAATAAAAGCGACGAAGAGTCTTCAGGTGAGACTTGTGTGAGTGTGTTTATCTAGCCACCTGTCTTGGATACTAATTTGTATTGATGTCTTAGTCTCTCAATGGTTTAGTCACTTGTTGATTGTACCGTGTTACTATCGTTTCTGGCTGACTGACTTTCTACGCCACCAGGACATCACACAAGCGATAAACACCCGATGACACAAGTGTCACCATGTGGATGAGGATCACCGTGTAGAGGTCCCAGAAACCGCGTTCAGCCATTAGGCCATATTTATGGCCGGGCTATATTGCGGCCCCTGGCAAGAGCCAGAGTAGGGCTTGAAACAACGAATAATTTCACCCTAAAAAGGGCACTGTTACAGTCGTTTCTGGCCAATCTGTCCGCTATTTCATTGCCTTCCAAGCCACAGTAACTTTTCATTGGCTGAGTGGTTAGTTGATGGGTGCGTGGGTTGTTGGGTTGTTGTTTGGATCATTGGGTGACTTATTGCTTGGTTGACTGATTAGCTGGTTCACTATTCGCTTTGTTGACTGGTTGCTTGGTTGATTGATTGCTTGGTTGACTAATTATTTGGTTCACTATTTACTTGGTTACTGGGTGATTGGCTGCTTGTTTGGCTGGTTGCTTTGTTGATTGATTGCTTGGTTGAGTGGCTGCTTGGTTGACTTGGTGCTTGGTTGACTGGTTGCTTGGCTGACTGTTTGCTTGGTTGAATGGTTGCTTTTTTAGTCGGGCACTTGGCTAGTTATTTTATAGGAATTTTGGGGAAAATGTAAACATCCAACGATTCACAAGGGAGAGGGAGGGGGGGGGGTAATGCACATTATTGTGTGTATTCGTGTGTGTGTATATGTCTAAATATATGTGTGTATGTGTGTGTGTATATATTTGTGTGTATGTGTGTGTATTTATGTCTGTATATTTGTGTGTATGCTTGTGTATACGTCCCTGTCTTATCAGCTAAGGGGTTTCTCGATCCTTTACCTTTAATTTCTCCGCTGGGGCATATACTCGCTAAGTTACTCATGCCAAAGTCTTTATAGACATAAAATTGCCTGAATTTTGCAGCAACAGAATTATACGGATGACTAGTCCTAAGCTAGTTCACACGCGATCGAGCGTACACACAAACACATGAAATTAAGTCAGATCTATTGTCTTTCTGAAGCTACGGCTATGTAACACATATGTAAGCTGATGTAATACTATTGGTCATTGCTTGTCAACCGTTGGGTAACTACTTTTTTTTCTAAATGTCTTTCAAATAACTAGTATATGCTACTAGTGCCATCAGATTTGGAACTTTGCGCTTGCTGCTGAATAATGGAACGGAGCGTCTATGGGAATGCATGCGTTCTTAATGCAAGGCGCTTTCTTCCTTTAGCAGCGGCAGGTTCGAATTCCGGTGATCTGACGTCTTTCGTTATGTTGTCTAGTGTGGCCTGTAATTTCTATTTCAAGTCTTAGTTTCTATAGCAGTACAAGGCATCAATCACTTCAGAGGTCCCTGACAGTTAACCTTTTCTGGATTTTTTTTCCCCATGCCATGTAGGTGTGTTGATAAATGAACAGGCCGACAATCTGGCTGGTTAAGCGCCGCTTGGTGGTGTACTGATATATGATGAGCTACATGTGGTCAGGACCCTTTTAAAAAAAAAGTAAAGTACCCTTTCATACGCCTTTCAGACGTATTGGGTATATAGGACTAGACCTTATTTTACAGACCAACGGCACAAAATGGGTGATGTGGTCAGAATCCCGCCGACCGCCTTTACTTTCCAGGACTGCATCTAGTACCCATTCAAGGCTTGGTCAACCTGAGAGCGGAGGTCATTTTTAAAAGGAGTCCGGCTCCGCCAGAGAGCGAACCCACAACTTTCCGGTCCGCAGGCGAGCGTCTAGCCACTACGCCACGGCGACTCACGGGGTCCTTTGGGAGAAGGTAAATAATGTGGATTTTCTGCAAACAGAAAAAGCAAGATATTGTGGGGGCACTTCGGGAGCGAGAGAAAAGTGCGAAGGCACAAACAGATCATTACGCACTGAGGATAATGGCATAGGGGGAGTTACCGGGGGATCTGGCCGACGCTCAACACTCAAAGGAAAGGGGAGACGGATATACAATCAGACAGTTACTGGTACCATCAGAAATGGAGGGAGCGTCTATGGGAGTGTCAAGAGGGCTGTGATGTCGATTTTTAATTCAGCATTGAATATTCAACATTCACTATCTGTGCATCGGGGATTGACCATAGGATTTAATCGACACTCAACACTCGGAAGAAAGGCAAGGGTCATATACAATGAGATTGCTGCTGGTACAGTCGAAACTGGGACACAGCACTGTTTGCTAATATTAAAATTGCTAATATTAGGACGCGTCCGTCGAAACCCACTGCAGGCTACGTGGATTTGTGTCGTGGTATGGGACGTCGCAGGTCGACCCAGCCTAAAATGGGTACCGGGATGGGCTGTCCAGGGAAAGTAAAGACAGCCGGCGTAATGCTGACCACATTACCCACAGAGTGCTGATGGTCTGTAAAAATATGGGACGCTCTGCCCATATGCCCGATGCGCCGAAAGGCGTGAAAAGGGATCTTAAAAAAAAAAAAATATTAAGACCGAAGGCTTATGGAAGTTCCCGAAGTGCTGTGATGTCAGTTCGTAGCTGCAGTCAGCTCACAATATTTGGCTTTGGTTAATTCGGATTTTTTTTTTTTTATTGTTACATAAAGTTTCATTAATAAATACAACGGTTATATACGATTCAGCTGGACATACCCCATGAGTAGTTGAGTAAGTAAGTCGTTGTGCTCCTCCTTGCCTGTCAGTTTCCCTGTTCCGCATCAGATCCCAGAATGTAACCACTAAAACACGATGTGTACGTTTGTCCTAATATTTCGCCCTGCTCTGCTTTCACTTGTTGTGCGTTTTAGTGCCAGTGGGTATTTTCAGATTTGTTTATACTTCTGTAACTTTTAGCATTAACGGAAACCAAAGACATATTAGAAAGATGGAAAGAATACTGTAGAGAAATGTATGAGGATGTGACAAGTAATTCAAAAACGACTTGTAAAAGTAATGAAAAAGAACCAGAGCCTTTACTGGATGAGGTACGATCAGCAATACACGGCCTGAAGAAAGGAAAGTCACCAGGTTGCGACGAAATACCAGCAGAACTAATTCAAGCAGGAGGAGAGGCCAGCGTCCGAATCTACCATGCACTGTCCTCGAAGATCTGGAACAGTGGCATTTGGCCTAAAGCGTGGAAAAGAACAGTCTATATCCATCTCCCAAAGAAAGGAAATCTAAAACTATACTCCAACTACCGTACCATCGCATTAATAAGTCATGCTAGTAAAATCCTCTTACGAATTATCATGAAAAGGATTGAAAGGAAATTACAATATGAGCTAGATGAGACACAAGCAGGTTTCAGACAGGGTAGAGGAACTAGGGATCACATCTTTAATATAAGAATAATTTTTTGAAAAATGCAGAGAATACAACGTAGATCTTCATGCTTGTTTTATTGTTTATAGCAAAGCATTTGATTGTGTCTAACACCACAAACTGTGGACTATTATGAAAAGTATGGGATTTCCAGCGCATTTAGTGCATTTAATTGAAAATCTTTATCATGAACAACAAGCAGCCACCAGAGCGGCTTGTGAAACATGACTGGTTCGAGGTGCAAAAGGGATTTGGGCAGGGGTGCATTCTGTCTACATACCTATTCAATATATACGCAGAAAATATAACGAAAAATGTCAAAAATGACCAGACTTGTGACAGTTATGATCCGCTCAAAAGTGGTGGCAACCCTATTCCGGAATTCCGCTACGCAGATGACAGTCCTCCTTTCGAAAAGCGTAAGGGGAATATACAATTTAATATTGTCTGTCCAAAAAGCACAGTGAAGATCAAAATCTGTTCTTGAATTTAAAGAAAACGAATATAATGTCCACAGATTAACTTGGCTGTCACCCAAAACCAACAATAAATGAAGAAGAAATTGAAAATGTCACAAACTTTGAATATCTAGGCTCTATAATAAATATCAATTGAGACTGTTCGACAGAAATTAAAAGAAGGATGGCCATAGCAATGCAAAGATTGAACAGCCTTAAAAGTCTATAGATAAACACCAGCAAGGAGATAAAAATTAGAATTTTGAGAGCATGCATCTTCCCTGTGGCTACATACGGATGTGAGTAGTGGACTATCTCTCAGTCCTTAACAAAAGAGAATAGGGGCTTTTGAGCTCAAATGCTATAGAAAGATTCTCAGAATATCTTGGACAAAAAAGATGAGAAATATTGACATCTTAAAAGATCTGAACATCAAGGAAGATTGGCTAATAAACAGCATCCTTTCTCGAAAGCTGAAATATTTTGGTCATATCAAGCGCTACGACGGATTGGGAAAAAATTATAGCAGAAGGCATGGTACTAGGAAGGAGGGGCAGAGGCCGACCGACACGAAGATGGGCACAGGATATAAGTGACTCCTTGAGTGTGAAAGTGCATGAGGTGGGAGAACTGGCGAGAGACCGAGTTTCTTACAGGCAGACTGTGATGAGAGCGACGTTCTGCAAAGGACCTGCTACACGATGATGATGATGAACTTTTAGCGTAGGTGATTATAGCGGGGATTCGAGTCCAGGTGGTGGATGCTGGTAGAAACATGGAGCTGCCAGACATAAGCATTTCACTAAAGGTACAACATCTTTGATTATTCAAAACAGAAAAGGCGTAATCAATTGTTTTACGCTTGTAGAACAACTGGCGAGAATATCAGAGCACCTGAAGATATCTTTAGTTTGTCATCAGTCTGTAACATCTTGCTGAATGTTGAATGTTGAGTTAAGAATCGACGTCACAGCACTCGGGACACCCCCATAAGCGTTTCGTTTCCATCTTCAGCAGCAGGCGAAAAGTTAAAATTCCGATGGCACCAGCAACTGTCTGATTGTTCTTCAACATCTTAACATCCATCGAAAAGTAACATAAGCAAAACTTGACGGGTCGCTGACTGAATTACAACAGGCAGTGTAGTTCATACTAGAGACAACTTTTGCAGATACATACAGATCATCTTTTTCAAGCAAACGGGAAAAAAAGTATTTACACAAGCGAATGTTACACGTCTGAATCTGAAGACTTTAATGTAAAACAATATTAGCTGATACAAATTCGTAGGCGGCGAATCCGTAAACATTGTTAAGTTTGAAGGAACAGTTCAAAAATGCAAATTTTGATAACCTGTAACATTTTTAATAACAAATTATTGCTTACAAATTTATAAGATGAAAATCTGTAACATCTTTGTTGAAAAAGTTTACACATTTACAAATGATAAATCTGCAACAAGGAAACATTTAACATTATCAATATTTACAAGGGAATGAGTAGGCCTTTTTTTTTAAATTTAATGTATATTTACAAACATCTAAACCCTTAAAAGTTAAAGTTACAGGTTGACAATCTGTAAAATGTCAACTTCTAAAGTTACTATCGCCTTTGCTGCGTAGTATTCCCAAACGTGTAGAAGTACACGTATAAGTGTTCAACTCCTGTGCCCATCTAAAGTTAGTGAAGTTAACAGTCTTTAGTAGAGTTTTTGCAACATTTCTATATCGGAAGTTAATGTTTAAAATAAAGGGTAGGGGATGAAGTTTCAGTGTTAACGATGAAAATCAGCAAAACACAAAAATAATATCGCAACATTCATTATCAGATGCGTTGCCAAGTGGCATGGGAAATCATGCCTTTCCACAATCTGCGATTTCCTGCAGCATGTATCATCGCAACACTGATAAAGTGATATCATTCAACGAAATGACACTGCACAAAAACAGACTTTTGTAACCCTTTAATCTTGTAAAATAATCCATTGTTAGCACCTGTATGTCTTACCAGACAATAGTTATATATTGTGCTACAGGGAGTTCTTGGAATCGCAGCCAAGGATGGTGGCGATGGTGATTAGCAAGATCTACCCGTGTATTCAGAAATGTCTTCCACAGTTACAACACATGATCTCAGGACCATCATTGCTATCTGTCGATCGTTGCCATCTCGTGTATTTAATGTAATTTTTAGAGATTCAGCCTTTGCCTTTTTTTTTTAAATCATTTTTCCGTTATCCATATTCCCTTCTAGATTCCCCGCCCCCTCCCCCTCTCCATACAGAGGTCTATGACATCCTGCCCCCCAAGAATCAACTGTAATATCTGTGTCCTTCATTACCTGCTTGCATAAATCTTTATATTGTATAAGAGCAGTGGTTCTCAACCATCATAATGCCGTGACCCTTTAATACAGTTCTTCGTGTTGTGGCGACCCCCCAACAACAAAGTTTTTTCGTTGCTACTTTATGACTTCAATGAATATGTGTATTCCGATCGTCTTAGGCGACCCATGTAGAAGGGTCGTTTGACCCCTAAAGGTGTCGCGACCCACAGGTTGAGAACCGCTGTATTAGAGGCTGACCAAGAAAACTTTCAGGCATTTGTTATTCACTATATAGGATGTCCTTTAAGACTCTGCCATTCTCCAAGTGTGTACTAGCCATAGAATACAATACTATAACATAATAATATAATGTTAATAATAATACACAATAATTTAATGTAAAATGCTTAATTGGTTTTGATGAAGCATCACTTTCATTATTGATAGAGATCTCCATAAGAGAAAGAAAAAAAAAACACAAGGGCTAGGCCAAGAGAGAATGTGCTAAACGGTTAGACAGGCATTGTAGCATGGAAAAACATCTACAATAACATGTACTGCGGCAAATGTGTGGAGCCCTGGCATTGGCCTGGCTACGAATCTTGCATTCGAATTAAAAAAAAAACTGTCAACGCCCTTTTCGATATTGCTGTAATGACCCATTTCTGGCTTGCAAATTTTACTTTCCAGCAAATATAACAAAAGTTATCTGCACGGTTAACACCCTTTCCGGGCATCTCTATTGCTGGGTTGAAGCCACTGGTACGGAATTGCTTGTTTACACTCCGGGAGTTTGCTTTTTTACTAATGACTCCACGTGTTTTTTACACAATACTTTACTCGATAGGCAATATGTTTGGGTGATGCAATTCACGCATTCTGCAGATGAAAATATAGCGCTCTGAAATGCTAACATTCTTACTATATGCAGGCTGGGTAGCATACATATGACCATCTCTGATTTTTCTAACAAGGACTGATACAAAAATATGTTAGTGTCATGATGGTGTCATGATGGTGTCATGTTGGTGTCATGATGGTATTCAGCGCCCCAAAATAAATAAAGATGGGGGTTTTTTTCATGCCAGGGCCAACATCTTATTGTCCAGTGTTGTTATCAGTACACCTCTTTTTCTTCGGGCTTACCAGCTGTAAATTCCTGCGAAATATTGTGGTTGTTCGGCTACTTCTGGACTCAGAAACTGAGTTTTGCGTGCGCATTTGTTTTACATATGTGTCTTATGTACATCTCGTATGTTGGTTCCTACCAGTTTCGAAGAAAGCCCCGGGCAGTTGTTTCTTACGACATGCTTGTTTAAAAGGCAGTTGGTCTATACTTCCTCCGAAATTCTCACAATTTGGCCCAGAACCCTCAAGGGGATGACAGTACACGAGACAGAAGGTTGTAAAGATGTGTGATGACAAACATCACTTGACAGGAACTATAAGATTGACATTACACGAGACAGAAGGTTGTAAAGATGTGTGATGACAAACATCACTTAACATGAACTATAAGACTGACATTACACGAGACAGAAGGTTGTAAAGATGTGTGATGAAAAACATCACTTGGCATGAACTATAAGACTGACGCGCATCGGGCCTATGGTGCTCATATTTTTATTAACTAAATGGTGTTAGAAGGGACATCCACTTCTCAAACGATGAATAATATAACAAATGAATAAGATAAAATGGGTTAAGCAAAGTATACTACATATGGAATGATTAAGATGGTACAGGGTATTAAAATGCGTTGAAAACACACAGTTTAAATGTGAGTAACAACTCGATGCCCTGAGTTTATTCCATATGACTAGGTCTCAAGGGAAAGCTGCCAGTTTCCTGGAGAGAATGTCGTAAACAAAACAAAACAAAAACAAAAAAACGATTTCCAAAGCTCCAGCAACAGTCTTTGTAAACCTCAGAAAAAAATTCCAGTCGTGAACCGACAATTGCAGCAAGAATATGAACCACGATATTCAGAGGGCAATACGAACGTCTTAAACACTTAGTAACTACATAACTCTGATCTGTTTCTCCCTTTTAACTATCAGATATGTTCCCTCCCTTATATATAACTCTTAGGCATGCGTTATCTATTTCAGTTAAATGTGGCTACAAACTGCACAGCAGGGTAAGGCAGATTTTTTAAGCAACGTCTGGTTCAATTTTTAAAATGTAATTGAATTAATGCTATACTTTATTTTTTACAAAATCTAAACTGGCATAATAAGAGACGTCGAAAGTTTTCAGACCCAAATATTCATCTCTAGTATCGTTAAAGATCTTCTCCTCCAGGCATCCAATCACAGCTCTGTCCTCGGACAGGTAAAATTTGTTGGCAAAATACTGTTTAGCTTGACCAAGTTGGGGCAAGTCTCCTGAAAATGAAACAGTTAAGAAAGAAAAAAGATGTAAATGAACTACACAGAGTCAATACGTTGAATCAAAGGACTGTAATTAAACTACACAGAGTCAATCAGTTAAACAAAAGGACTGTAAATGACCTGCACAGTCAATAAGTTAAAACAAAGGACCGTAAATGAACTACACAGAGTCAATTAGTTAAACCAAAGGACTGTAAATGAACTACACAGAGTCAATTACTTAAACCAAAGGACTGTAAATGAACTACACAGAGTCAATAAGTTAAACTAAAAGAACTGTTACTGAACTGCACAGTCAATAAGTTAAACCAAAGGACTGTAAATGAACTGCACAGAGTCAATAAGTTAAACTAAAAGGACTGTAAATGAACTGCACAGAGTCAATAAGTTAAACTAAAAGGACTGTAAATGAACTACACAGAGTCAATAAGTTAAACTAAAAGAACTGTTACTGAACTGCACAGTCAATAAGTTAAACCAAAGGACTGTAAATGAACTGCACAGAGTCAATAAGTTAAACTAAAAGGACTGTAAATAAACTGCACAGTCAATAAGTTAAACCAAAGGACTGTAAATGAACTGCACAGAGTCAATAAGTTAAACTAAAAGGACTTTGACTGAACTGCACAGAGCAATAAATTGAATCAAATTACTGTACAGAAACTACCCAGAATCCATAAGTTAAACCAAAGGACCGTTTATTTATAACGCTAGTAGTGCATCGGGTATATGAGGCTAAACTTGTATTTGTAATGACCAGTCGGCATTCATGGGGGGCGGGGGTGGGGGGGCTGTGGTCAACAGCACTCCTGTCGCCTTTACTTCCCACTACTTTACCTTGCACCCATTTTAGACTGGGTTGACCCGGGAGCCAAGTTGAACTCTGAAATGTCGATCTGAGCATAAAATCGTCGGGCGGGACGGCACAGCTGCTGAAAACATACGATAATAATTCCATTGCCGGCTTGCTAGGTCTGTCGCAACTTTACCAGACCCCCAGCTGGCCAGAATTTTTCAGGGTGATCCAAGGTGGCTCTGGCAGTAGCGTGGCATAAAGTAACACCATTACTTCGAACAATCCGAGCAGCCCCTTATTTTTTATCGTTATAAGCTCTCACGACCTGACGTGGCGCTGGGCATTAAAAGCTTCTATCCAATAGTTGTTTTAAAACTCTCTTTGTCGAGAGATTATTAGTTTAACTCCTCCATGCCCAAGCAGGATATTCATTTCATCATCATGTACCCTGCCGATAAGAGTAAGCGATTATGTTTCGTTATCTCGCACGATCACAGATTAGGTGAGTGCTTTTTTCTCAACCTGTCAGTTTGTAAGGCAAACTGATAATTTCTTGAGATATAACTTTTTCTGGCCCTGTGTGTGTGTGTGTGTGTGTGCGTGTGTGCGTAGGCGTTTGCGTGTGTCTATGTGTGTGCGTGGGCGTTTGCGTGTGTGTGTGTGCGTTTGCGTGTGTGTGTGTGCGTGCGTTTGAGTGTGTGTATGTATGTGTGTGTGTGTGCGTGGGCGTTTGCGTGTAAATGTGCTATCAAGTCATGAGTCATGTAATATTTTAGCTGTTATGATTTCCTCAATGCTCTGATGTCATAAACGCTATGGTGACGTCCGGAGTGAAATCATTTATAAAGATGTCCTGATAACTGTGATATCCTGAATGCTATAGTGATGTCATGAGAGCTTTCATGATGTCCAGAGTGCTATAAAGATGTCCTCTATGACAATGATGTTCAGAGTGCTATAAAGATGTCCTCTTCGACAATGATGTCCTTAGTGTTGTGAAAATATCCAGAGTGCTATAAAGATGTCCTCTTCTACAATGATGTCCAGAGTGCTATAAAGATGTCCTCTTCTACAATGATGTCCAGAGTGCTATAAAGATGTCCTCTTCTACAATGATGTCCAGAGTGCTATAAAGATGTCCTCTTCTACAATGATGTCCAGAGTGCTATAAAGATGTCCTCTTCTACAATGATGTCCAGAGTGCTATAAAGATGTCCTCTTCTACAATGATGTCCAGAGTGCTATAAGGATGTCCTCTTCTACAATGATGTCCAGAGTGCTATAAAGATGTCTTCATCTACAATGATGTCCAGAGTGCTATAAAGATGTCCTCTTCCACAATGATGTCCAGAGTGCTATAAAGATGTCTTCTTCTACACTGATGTCCAGAGTGCTATAAAGATGTCCTCTTCTACAATAATGTGTTCAGTGTTGTGAAGATGTCCAGAGTGATATGATGGTAGTCCTCCTAAAACACTCATCTTAAGTTTCTCTTAGCCGTGTTAGTTGTAATAGTATTTCATTCCCCCTCCCCTCCCCAGGATATCACACAAGCGATAAACACCTGATGACACAAAGTGCCACTATGCGGATGAGGATCACCCGTTTTGAGGTCCCGGAAACTGCGTTCAGTCGTCAAGCTATATTGCGACTCCTTGCAAGAGCCAGGGTAGGCCTTCAGAATAAAGAAAAAATGCATCCTACAAGGGGATGACGATGTTAGTAAAATAGCAGTGTTTGCAAACAGTTTTACTTATTTATTTTTGCTACAGAGAAGTGCAGTTGACATTTTTCCTTCATGGGGTTATAAGACCATTGATAAACATTATACAGGATAACTGATGGAAGGCGGGGGTGGGGGGGGGAGAGAGAAAGAGAGAGAGAGAGAGAGAGAGAGAGAGAGAGAGAGAGAGAGAGAGAGAGAGAGAGAGAGAGAGAGAGAGAGATGATTACGGCAAAAGCTGGTATCGACATTAACAAGACTGACTGAATTTCTACCCCACCAGGACATCACACAAGCGATTAACACCCGATGACACAATGTGCCACCATGTGGGTGAGGATCACCGTGGAGAGGTCCCAGAAACCGCGTTCAGCCTTTAGGCCATATTTATGGCCAGGCTATGTTGCGGCCCTTGTCAAAAGCCACAGTAGTGCTTCAAAGAACGAAAAATTTCATCCTAAAAAGGACGAGAAGTATGTGAAGTGGATGAGTCCAAAGTTAATTAACAAGACAAAGCAGATGACCATATTTATAAAGGGCATTCTAAAGACACGATGCCATGGATTGATGGTGTAGGGGAAATAACACAGCTAAAATTAAGATATACACAAGTTATCGAACCGTCTACATTATCAGTCTAGGACAATGTCTGAAGAAATACAGAGCTTATTGACTGACACCAGAGAATTATCAAACAGGCATTTATCTGGGCATCACGTGGATTGGCGAAAATAAGGACGTCAAAAAGAAACTCCAAGACGAACGTCGAAGAGAGAGGCCAAAGGTGCTAAACTAGATTCTATCCATGATATGGAAACACAAAAGTCTCCAGAATTGAACGGAATGTCGGAATATCTGACGTATAAACAACAGGGCAAGATGGTGGTGGTGGTGGTGGTGATGATGATGCAGGTGATTTTAATGACGATTATGGTGGTGATGACGATAATGATAATGGTGGCGGTACTGTTTGAGATAATGATGATAATGATGATTACTGTGGATTATGAGTCCACGGTTGTATTCTCGAACTTTTCTGTAATTTATAGTAAAATCAGACTAGGTAAGTGAAGAAAAAGTAAAGTGCGGGGAAAGGCGGGGGGGGGGGGAGATATTAGAAAACATGTGAAATGTGACATGTACCTAATGATAGAATGCAGATGGCACGAACGTAGTTGCCACTGGCACACGGCAGATGACCCCAGTTCTTGAACCTCGTCAGAAAAGGTTTCTTCTCCTCATCTGTTTCCGGTTCTCCTGCAGAGAAAGTAATGAGAAAGAGATTACACAGAGAGATTAGATTGGGACTCGTAAGTGACATATACGGTTTACCGTTATGTTGCTTACTTAGTCGATTGGTTGGCTGAGTGGATGGGTGAATGGCTAGTTATATGGGCTGGTTGGTTTGGTCATTTGTGGGTTGTTTGGTTGGCTGGTTGCTTGCGTAATGGTTAGCTCGTTATTATTATTATTATTATTATTATTATTATTATTATTATTATTATTATTATTATTATTATTATTATTATTATTATTATTACTTCCTCTCTTCCTTCTTGCATCCTTCTTTCTCGCATCCTTCTTTCTTACTTGCTTAATTCTTGCTTTTTTCCCTCTTCCTTCCTTTCTTCTTCCTTCCTTTCTTTTTCTTTCTTCCTTCCTTCCTTCCCCTTTCTTCTTCTTCTTCCTTCCTTTCCTCCTTTCTTCCTTTCTTCCTTCCTTCACTTCTCCTTCTCATCTCCCTCCCTTCTCCTTCTCGTCTCCTGTCTTCCTTTCTTCTTCTCCTCCTCCCTTTCCTTCTTCTTCTTTTTCTTCTTCTTCTTCTTCTTCTTCTTCTTCTTCTTCTTCTTCTTCTTACTCCTCATCCTTCTTCTTCTTCTTCTTCTTCTTCTTCTTCTTCTTCTTCTTCTGTCTTCTTCTTCTTCTCCTCGTACTCCTTCTTCTTACTCCTCCTCCTCCTTCTTCTTCTTCTTCTTCTTCTTTTTCTTCTTCTTCTCCTTCTTCTTCTTTTTCACCGATCAATAATCGCGATGCGTCTATTTAAAAATGGTTCATAAACAGAACTGTGGGCTTGTAGGGACGTGTTTGTTTGGGCAGTCCAGTTAGACATGTTCTGGGGTTTGCTTTAGTGAGCCACATCCACGTGCAGCAAAGTCAGCAAGACCCATTCAACGTAGATGTGCTCTGAGTTTAGCAAGTCCCGTTCTGACTCTGAAAATGTTGATCCGGGTATTTCTGCCATGTCTGTTTTTACTGTCGTGCTCTGGTCTGTGTTTGTTATTCTTCTTTCTACAGTTCGTTTTAAAGAAGCGCTTTAAGAGTGTCTTTGCCTTTTAAAGTTCCAGGTTGAGTGGGGCTGTTATATTTTAACATCTTGTTGGCGCTTACTCTATGTGTATGGATGGGCAGACTGACAGGCTTGCGGATAGATAGACAAGATATTTAAGTAGACACTAAGACTGGTAGGTAGACAGACGAGTGGGTAGGTAGGTAGGTAGGTAGGTAGGTAGGTAGGTAGGTAGGTAGGTAGGTAGGTAGGTAGGTAGGTAGGTAGGTAGGTAGACAAGTGGGTGGGTATGTAGACAGACGAGTAGGTAGGTAGGTAAGTAGGTAGGTAGGTAGGTAGGTAGGTAGGTAGGTAGGTAGGTAGACAAGTGGGTGGGTATGTAGACAGACGAGTAGGTAGGTAGGTAAGTAGGTAGGTAGGTAGGTAGGTAGGTAGGTAGGTAGGTAGGTAGGTAGGTAGGTAGGTAGGTAGGTAGGTAGGTAGGTAGGTAGGTAGGTAGGTAGGTAGGTAGGTAGGTAGGTAGGTAGGTAGGTAGGTAGACAGATAGAAATACATACAGGTAGCAAGAAACAATGTAACCAGTCAACAAATCACAGGTATCCCCCACCTTTATAGGTACCCCTAATGCCGAGCTGGGGGTTGTGGTTGAGTGTAGCGAAGAAGGTCTCGTCCGGGAACGAGGTGTCCCGCTTGACCCACTCTAGCAGCACCTTGGCCGTGTTGTTGTGGAGGATGTAGTTGACGAAGTCCCTGGGGAAGAGCATCTGATAGCTGCTAAACTCATGGTAATTGTGACTGGAGTGATGGCTGCGGTAAAGATGAGTTTATAAGTGGTAGTGATGATGATGATGATGATGATGATTATGATGATGATGCTAGTAATACCGATGGTAATGCTGTTAATGATGATGACTATGGTGGTGGTGGTAGTTGTGGTGGTGATGATAACGACTTTGTGAGGGTGCTGAGGATGAAAATAAGGATCCTGCTAGTGATAAGCCAGGTAATGATGTTGATGATAGTGGTAGTGGTGGTGTCGGTGTTGCTGATTATTCTAATTGTAGTGCCAGTGACGACGATGTTAGGGACGGTGATGATAACAAAGGATATGGTGATGGTGATGATAACAGAGGTGATGGTAATGGTGATGATAACAGAGGTGATGGTGATTTTGATGATAAAAGAGGTGATGGTGATGATAAATGAGGTGATGGTGATGATAAATGAGGTGATGGTGATGATAAATGAGGTGATGGTGATGATAACAGAGGTGATGGTGATGGTGATGATAAATGAGGTGATGGTGATGATAACAGAGCTGATGGTGATGGTGATGATAACAGAGGTGATGGTGATGGTGATGATAACAGAGGTGATTGTGTTTTGAGTGGTCTTGAGATATGGCATCAGCCTCCAATGCTGGAGGTCCCAGGTTCAAACCCAGATAAAGGCTAGGAATTTTTCACGTTTACTTATAGTAATTTCCCCTAGTTTCTGGATATAATACCGAACAACCGTGTGTATTTTTTCCCACCTAAAAAAATTCCTTGGCAGTTGGAAATCGAGACCAGTAGCCTAACGGCGCTGCCCGGGTAAAATTTGGAGTTTAAAATATGCCCCAAAAGGGTTTTCAGGATCCTTGCGGTGCAACAAAGTTGGTGCACTGCGCTCAGAATCTTCAGACTCTGGACCGAGTTAGAAGTAGAACGAAATTATGGGTTTACACTCGTGTGCCATGCTGTTGACCCATCGACTAAACTAAATTAACAAATAGATGACGATGACGATGGGTGTGCTGTAGATAGTGATGATGATAATGATGGTGATGATGGTTGTAGTTGTCGTGGTGGTGATGATAAAAATGATACTCCTACTACTACAATCCACACTGTTACTACTACACTACTACCACTTCTAGCAGTCGCAATGATGTAGCGGCTAGATGTAGGTAGGGGGTTCAAATCCGAACGACGCAAACTCAAATGGGTACTAGGTAATGTCAAGGAAAGTAACGGCGGCCGGCAAATGTTGACCACGTCACTCATAGAGCTCTATACAAATATGAATCTGGCCTCATATGCCCGATGGCACACTAGCGTATAAGGAAACGTTTACTTCGACTGTTTGTCCAACACACGGGAAAGGGTGGGGGTAAGGTCCTTTACTACACTACTTATACTACCACTACTATTACACTACTACTATCAGCATTACTACCACTAGATCCACTACAACCTCACCACCGTCACCACCTGGGTCCATTACAACCATAACCAACACCACCACTGCTATCAGCACTACCACCACTAGATCCACTACAACCTTCCCACCACCACCATCTAGGTCCATCACAACCATAACCAATACCACCACTGCTATCAGCATTACTATTACTAGATCCGCTACAACCTTCCCACCACCACCATCTAGGTCCATTACAACACTACCAACGCAACCCCTGCTATCAGCACTACCACCACTAGATCCATTACAACCTTCCCACCACCACCATCTAGGTCCATTACAACCATTACCAACACCACCACTATTGTCATTACTACTACTGCTACTGTGTCCACTACAACTATTACCACCACGACTACTATCACCACTACCACTGCTATTACCACCACTAATACTACTAGATCCACTGCAACCACCACCACGACTACTATCACCACTACCACTACTATTACCACTACTACTACTACTAGATCCACTGCAACCACCACCACGACTACTATCACCACTACCACTACTATTACCACTACTACTACTACTAGATCCACTGCAACCACCACCACGACTACTATCACCACTACCACTACTATTACCACTACAACTACTACTACTAGATCCACTGCAACCACTACCACGACTACTATCACCACTACCACCACTATTACCACTACTACTACTACTAGATCCACTGCAACCACTACCACGACTACTATCACCACTACCACTAATATTACCACTACTACTACTACTAGATCCACTGCAACCACTACCACGACTACTATCACCACTACAACTGCTATTACCACTACTAATACTACCAGATCCACTGCAACCACCACCACGACTACTATCACTGCTACTACTACTACTAGGTCCACCACAACCACCACCACTATTACACTGTTACTACCATTTCTGGTAACATATATGACCACACATTACCTGTTAACAGTTATATGTACAGATCCTTTGATTGGACGGATACCGAACGGAGCTGGCGATCGCCATCTGTCAAAATTTGCCCTGTAAAATAAAAATAAAAAATAAACAAGAATTATTCCTAAAGTTTACGTGGGTTAGTTTTACGTTAGTCTCCCCAAACAAAGAAGGTCACGTTTCATTGACAAGTTTGTTGGGCTTGTCTACTTTCTTGCAGGTTACAGGTGTGTCTTTCATCTACTCGTTTCTTCCGAGAAAGAGAATGCATGTGACATAGGTTGCAGCACTATCTAGGGGAGTTGTGTTTGACCCAGTTTGTCCATGTTTTTGGAGTGTTAAAATCGCTGGCGTGCTGAAATAGACTGAACGCGATATCAACGGCTTTGCGGAAATTCCCCGAAACTTTTAAAAAAGACGCGTGGCTCAAGGTCTGCCAATCAGAAGTGAGCTAGTGTGTAACACTGTGTAAACGGGGAGACTAACTTTAGTTTTACTCTTTCCGTGTGAGAGAACGGGACCCTGCAGACATGTCAGAACCCAAACGCTTAAGTACATTCTGCAGGCCTGCTGATTGTGTTGTTTATCCATCGCCAGTGATGAGGAACACTCTTTCTTGTATCCGTCATGACGTTAGAGTTGATTGTCGCTGAGTCCGGGGGTGACTTATAAGCTCACTACGGGCCTGGATGGATGTAGGACAAAGAGGACATGGAACAGTGTCGGTGAAGGGGCCCGTTAAACGGGTCTTTCTAGCCTCTCTACGCTGTTCAGCTGCATTTCTGCCTCTCTGTCCTCTATACTAAGATATACCTACTAAGAGAAACCTGGCCACAAGAGTAAAGAGTTCAATACAATCTATTGGGAACCATGAAAGAACTGCAAATAACATGCAAGTAAAAGGTAATGGTAAGGTCGGGAGATGTGAACCAGCGTCATTGCACACGGTTATAAACTATAAGTGCTCTGCCACCAGTACGGACAGCTGATAAAAACCTGTCCGCCTGCGTCGCTGTCCGCACGAAACTCCGTAGCTACAGCGATGTTCCTCCATTTTCCCCAGAGCGTTAACTCTGGTACCCATTTTCTACAGGCTGGGTGAACCCCGGGAACCGTCCGGTTTCGAACACCGGCCGTAGGCTGCAGCGAGTCGCAGCTGGATTTGAAAGCGAGTCTCCTATCGACTGCGCTAACGTAGCCCCAAACACATGCAAGTTAATAGAAATAGTGAACGTGAAAGTCTGACCTGAGCTTACAAAACCGACAGCCAAGAAGAAGAAGAATCGTAAAGGAGAAGACACGAATTATTTCCCTTACATATGTTAAGTTTGTCCTAGTAGGAAACAGAGAGATACTCCTGCTTCTTGAAAATGCAGAGCATCTCCTCTAACAAAGACAACTGTATGTTGCTAACAGGAACGCCGTCTGATCTGTTAAAGCCTCAAACATAACAAAGCTCTATGGTAATATGACGAGATTTGGACAGCACTCGCCTCTACTTTGATCACTTTTCAGATAAACTGGCAATCGAGTAAACAATGTATAATTCTATAAAAATTGATGAACAGGAAGTAGATAATGGGCAATTTAAAATAAAGAGATATGCAAACGATTGCACAATGTAGTGTGTGTTGTATATCCAATTTCGTCCTTTTTAGGACGAAATTTTTTGTCATTTGAAGCCCTACTCTGGCTTTTGCCAGGGGCCGCAATATAGGCAGGCCATATATATGGCCAAATGTCTGAACGCGGTTTCTGGGACCTCTCCACGGCGATCCTCATCCACATGGTGGCACTTAGTGTCATCGGGTGTTTATCGCTTGTGTGATGTCCTGGTGGGGTAGAAATTCAGTTCAGTTTATTGCACAATGTCCATGCAATGAAATTGTTAAACTTTGCAGATTACCATAATAGTAAATTTATTCTCAACTATCACCAGTAGAGATGATATTGTTCTACTCACTTATTCCTCTTGAGTCCAATATGTCAGACCATTTGCATTACGATAGATTTTATACTGGTAGTGAGAGTGGCAGCGGTATGTATACTGTTGAACTTATGTGTACATTTTTTTCTTATTTCAGGTTCAGTTGACGATTTTTGCAGAGAAATGGCGCTTTCTGTATCTTAACGGTTTCTGTGGGTTTTTGTGTTGGTAATGTATTTAACAAAGGCGGCCAAATTAATTTTGTTTTCTCGGAACAAGATTTTATGTTCATCTGGTAAGTGCAGCCCAAACTCTGGTATACTTTAGTTTTTAGACACGATTTTTAGTTCACAGTGAATCAATTCTATGAGGACTTCGAATTCTGCCCAATTCAAGCTTGGTGGTTTTTAGTTTATTGACCCTAAGCACATTTAATACCCCAGTGAAAGTCATCAAATACCTTCTCTTGATTTGTTGGAAAATAATCTTCAAATTACGCTTTCAAAGATTCGACATCAGCTTCAACATTTTTCTACATTTTTTTTTTAACCTTGATGTTACTTTATTCCAAGAAGTTCTTACTAAGAGGGTAACATTCCCTTTCCACGTTCTGGTGCCACTGTTAAGTGTCTTTTTCATGTCACCAGCTATATTGTTGTTTTACGGTTTCCTAATTTGATTTCCTTCAAAGTTTATTCATTTTTCTATCAAAAAAAAGATATAAAACCGAACGAAAAGTATATAAGCAAGCTTCACAATATAATAAATACAAACAGAACGTGAAAGTTGCGACTATTGAGCCCTAATCAGCACATACAAATGAAACAATACTACACAGAGTTTCACTTCAATCCGTTTGTTTTTTTCATTCTAGTACCTGTTTAGCGATACACTGCTGGTTTATTCGCAGGTTGTATCCAGTATAGCGCCATCTTGTTGGTCTTATAACTGTTATTACAAGTGGCTACCTAGACATTTCTATTATTTCTTCACCCCTCTTTAATTCATTCCATTTTATGAAGAAAAAAAATTTCCTCGAGCATTTTTTTTTTTTTAATCAAATGCATTTAACTTTCGTTCCGTATCTTTAGTAGTGCTCCAACTTTCTCTGGCATATGTTAAAATTGAAATAACATTAGAAGTGAAAATACGTAACTGTATCTACTGCATAACCACACCGTATTTTAGGACACCGCTGTAGTAAAACTGCCGGTATTTACACTTTCTAGAGATCTGTAGGCAGTACTTGATTCAGGTATAATCTAGCTAAACTACAGCTTAGCACCTCACACTTTGGTGGGGCCTAAACATTTTCCCACTTTTTTTCACAAATGCAATTTTCGGTGCTTTCTTAATATCCTACCCAGATGACGTCACATGACAGTCGAACATTTTAGAGGGTGGTAAGACTGGGTTTCTCGATTTTCTGATGCTTTTAACGACCCTAAAACGTCTAGATCTGGCCCTAACCACAATGCACCCACGTCCCACGAGACAGTGCAGCCTAGGTCCCACAACTGCATGCAGCCTATTTACCACCGCCTGAAAGATTAGACTGTCCCGTGACCTGTGGATTTCCTCTGTCTGGGGTAGGACAGTAATAAAGCACCTAATTTTCTTTCAGCATGTTTTAAAAAAACGAAACGAAAAAAAAAATCCCAGCATTTTCCCGTTTTAATAATATTATTTTGGGTTATTTTCCAAGGCTTTTGATCATTCCAACCTGTTGTAGCCCATTTAAGTTTAAAAAATAATCCGCTTGACCTTGACTCCCAGGTTGACCCAGCCGTGGGTACCGGCTGCAGTCCCGGGAAGTTAAGGCGGCCGGCGTGATGATGACCACATCACCCATCTTGTGCCGATTGGTCTATATAAATATAGGTCTAGCCCTATATGCCCTATATGCCCTATACGCCTAAAGGTGTGGAAAAGGGACCTTTACTTTTTTTTTTTAACTTTTTTTTTTGTATGCGTCAACTTCTACTTTTTATTGCCTCATTATATTTTTTTAAAGTTTTCCTAAATTAACCGGCGTAATTTAGAAAGGAGTCAGCTCTGTGGCTAAGTCGATGCAAACGCTTCGTAATGCCGGGATGCCGAGTTCGATCCCAGCTGCGGGCCATGCGCCTTGCGTTGGTTTTGACAGTGGTATCAAGAAAGCCGACCGTCCAGTGGCAATAACAAACTACTAGACGTAAATTTGCCTAGAAACGTCACACAACAGCCAGGGGCTGTTGGGGTTGGTTCTGCAACGTCCTGTAAAGG